ATTTTTTCTCGGTGTGGATGACACTTTAGTGTGTGGCCGAGAGGCATGTCTCACGAATAGATCTCATCCGTGCTGGGAGTGTCTGCTACTAGGAAGCACATGGACACGTTTATACGCCTACTCCCACGAAGAGAGGCTCTCTTGAATACTAAATGCTACGATAAACAGTCTCTTTGATACGATCTTGGCTTTGCATCTGCATTTTACTTTGAACGTAGTTAGAAGGTCCACGGTAGGTACGTATAGTATGGATACAGTGTTTTGTTATTAAGATTTTCAAAAAATTCGTTTAATAATACGAAGAAATTCAAGTTAAAGTGCTTGGAAAACGTCGGAGATTACGAGGCTGGAATTCTAATTGGTTTTTCCACTTGTCATCATTTTTAAGAAAATCAATTGCCGTTCCGTTCGATTTTATTGAGTCGCGCCAGCCAATCGAATGATCATTAAACAGGATCGACAATGTCGAAGACCGGAAATTAAGTGCCAGACGTACTTCCGCCTTGGTTTAAATTGACGAAATTTCACGCGTTAAATATACTGGGTAAATGATTTTAAGCTGTATTCACACCGTTACCTTGTACGCGGACTGGTATTGAATAGGATCGTTTTCATGTAAGCGACGTGACGCACGTTCTATCCTTTAGGCATATTACCCTGTTTACAAAGCAGAACATTTGACATATCAATAAAGAAATTTTGTTTTACCTAAAAGGAAATTAGGAAAAACAAAAAAATGTTGTACCTCACTAACATCCATAATATTTGAAAGGCTAAAATATCAGTAAATGATGATGATGATGATTTTAGCTGAGTAAGTGAAACATCGTTTTTTATCTTCTAATCTGCATTACTGATCTCATCGAACCGGATGAGTATGAATTACGAGAAATGGCAGCGTGAAGGTAATAAGGACTATGGGGATCTTATATAGTGTATCAGCGTAAAAGGGTGAAAGAGGGATAGACTGGAAAGCAACAAATCCCAAAGGGCGTTAAGGGTTCCGGAGGCTTCTGGGTTTGCGTGTTACGAAGCAAACTACTCGATCATTGTTAGCTTCGAGGTCAGAGACTGGCTCTGCCCTTTGACCCATTATCCTCCCGGAAACAATTTTCGAAGAGGGGTGCAACCTGGCGGAAATAAAAAGTCAAAAATAAGTTGAAGAACAACAATGATAAGTTTAACTATACTATTTTTTTTTATGAGAATTGAAAATAAAATTTTTGTTAATATTTTTTTTTTTTTTGAAAATCATAAAACCTTTTTACGAGAAATAAATATCCCTTACGAGGGTTCGGTGGGATTACTGTTGGTACTAATGAATTACCATGAAATAAATAAGCGAGAAAGCATGGCGGGTTTTGATAAAGTAAAATTGAAGTAGAAAGACTCACGCGAATGCGGGAAAGTTTCTGATAAATGAATTCCCTAGATAATATACTACGGTATACTAATATCATATGTATACACCTTGGATATTGTATAAGCACACGCGATACCTTTGATCTTAATAAAAATCCCTATACTTTTATTCGAATTACCTGAGGGAAGCAATTTTCCTCGCGATATCCACATAGGGAAGACTGCTTGGATGTATATGTGTATATATATATATATAGTTCAACCCCAATTTGACCAGTGGCTATGTTATTCTTTATTATCTTAATGACCCTAATAAAATTCCCTATTACTCACGTACCAACTCATACGTACGTAAATACTACTTCCTTATAACTTCCTCGACGACGTCAAGAAGTCCAAATAATAATTTCCCATGGACCGCTGCACGTGGCAATATCATTTTATATCCGCCATTAACGAAAATGAGGACGGGTAGATTTTTTACCAAAGATTTTTACCAAAGAAAAAAAAAGATTAGAACCGGTCAATTATTTGTGTCCTTGGGTAAATGGTCGACTTTGACGAATGACTAAGATTACGAAATGACTCCTAGTATGTTTCCACGTGGACGCCTGGCGTCGTGTAGAGCGTCGGTAACCCGCTCGGTTTCAAGGCTAATGTCCTGCGGCGGTCAGCAGGTCTTTGCCAAGGACTCGGACTCCTTTAATGACTCTTACTTCACGTTGCGTCATAACCAGCTGTGAACGTTCTAAAGAGGCCAAATTCAATAATAGTTTTATCCAACTTTACACGTTTTCTAACCTAACCTAACCTAACGGAGAAAAAATAATGAATAATCAAAGCAAATTAAAAACAATAAATAATCATACATTATAATCCCAATTGACGATCAGTCGATAATAATTTTGAATATTTTCATATTCAAATATAACAGGATCGTTTATTTTCGCCTCTATATTTTGGAAAGGTCGCGAGTTTTGTTGGTAATTTTTTTTTTATTTTCAGGAGGATCCTTCTCATTCGCTTATTTAACATTGTAACGAGCATCCTTGATTTTTATTAATATTACAGGTGGTATGACGTAATAAGTTGCAGTGACTTATTAATTTTAACGCGATTAGCCGTGGGAGACAAAATATGAAAAAAACGAGATAAATGGAAAAGAAATCGCGAAAACACATTTTGCTATGTAACATCGAGTTAATTATACAAGTTCATTGATATGCTTGTTGTTGCCAATTTTTTTGCCATTTTTTTTTTTTTTTTTTTTTTTTTTTTTTTTTTTTTTTTTTTTTTTTTTCATTAAATCGTTACCTCACGATGATAATAGAGTGAGTCAGAATTGACTGGAATACGTGGTATCGTAACTTGGTATAAAGTCAATTCTTTTTTTTCTTTATTCGTCGATTTTTAATGACGGAAACGCCCGAACGACTCACGTTCTAATTTCGCATCGATGACTCTGAGCTATTCTCGTTGAAAAATAGAACAATTAGTGCGAAAGTGAGTTCCTGCTGCGTGTTCGTTTCTGATACCCTGTCTTCTCTTGTTTTTTTGTTTTCCTTTCTTTTCAAGTTGGTATTTTGATGAGGGTATCGTACGAGACATTGTTGAGCTCGAGCCAGACAAGCAGCCTCCGGAGATACTTTTCCTTTCTGGACCACCCAGTGGACACGTGAAATTTTATTGGCGACTTCGATCAGAAGATAAAAAATTGGCAAAAAAAGAAACAATCACAATGCGAAAGCGAATTAATGAAATCAAAGTGTGAAATGACCATTATCGATCATCACCTACATTTATAATATACATATATTGGACCCAATAGGAATTACCATAGCTGGGAGGAATTTATTTATCGAACCTTGACCATAGCCTTGATTTCGAACCTCCATTTTGAAACCGGTCGTACCACTCCACTGACACTTAAATCAACACAATTTCTAAACACTCATTTCAAACGAAACAATTTGACTCCTAGTAAACAAAAGAAAAAGTAAAAAGGGGAAATTTTTTTTTTTTTTTGTGAAAAACAGAAAAATCTATTTTTTCTCTTAATTTTTATTTCCACCAGAATCCACATTACGAGGCAGTAGTGACTTCCTTGAATGGACAGACCGATACTGATCGTGGAGAAAGTTCGACTTTATCAGGAATCACGTGGGAGTTCTTATGTGGCTTCAATTTGTCCTATCTCTTGGCAGAATCAATAAGCAGCATCAGCGGGAACGGAAGTAGTTGATTTTGAGGAAGACTGTTCCCCGGAAGTGACCTAAGGAAATGGACTTGGGAGAAAGTGGAGAAACGGGGGAAGGAAAGGATTGGCACTTATCGTTGCTGCAATTGCTGGCACCGGTAGCAATGGAAATGCTGCCGGAATTTACGTGTGTATATATATATATATATATATATATAGGTAGCAATGGCCGCCGTAGCAAACGGCAGAGATATTGACGTGGAGGCTGATCGAGAAATGCTGGGAAAACTGAAATCCGAGCTCAGGACAAACAAAACAATTTTCCAGTCCCTTGATCGTTGAAGCCCGTCGTGAAAGATGCGATTCCATTATTGGCCAATTACGAGCGTTTCCGCGTAACGAGGAGTCTCGCCGAATATCGTGTCCTTCTGGCAAGTGCTATCTGGCTGGAGCGTGGAGAATGGACAGGTAACAGGTAAATGGGTAGGGACGAGAAAAAAGAATGCGTGGGAGATAAGAACAGGAAAGACACGTAAAAGAGAACTAAATCTTGAAATTAGCCCTAAACGAATGATACATTTTTTTTTTTTATCAATCGAAGATTAAGATTACTGGATAAATTTACGTGAATTTCGATGACGAGATTTATTTCGTAAATTCAATTTTCTGTTTATTTGCTTTCTTTTTAAAGAAAAAAATGGATGACTCTTAATGCAAAAATAACGATACTTTACGTGGAAGTAAAGCAAGTCCTTTGGATTACGTTGATTTGGAAAATATAAGTATACCTTTTAACTTTGAAGTCGTTTCAGTGAAATCTTAAAAGATGTATCTTTTGTGCAATTGCAAAATTTAATTCGATACTCGAGACGGAAAATAAGGGCAAATGCTGATCTCGCTGATAAAAAAAGAAAAAGAATGAAGATACCGACACAGTACCAAAGAGTCTGATCTCAGATTGAATTTTTGTAAATTGACAAATATCGAAATAAAAACGAATTTCTTAAAGCAGTAGCAAAGAAATGTTTACTTTAGTCGCAAAAGAAAGATTAACGAACAGTGACGAGTTCGTAGGAATGAATTCAGGAAAGATGGGAAAGACAGACATTCATTTTCTCATTACAAATTGAATACGATGTTGGCAGGATCAAAGAGAAACGAGGAAGATCCGATATTAAATCAGCCACGCTGGACCTGTGACAGGAGCAGCTTCACGTGTCATAAGAAAGAAAAACGGAATCATATGATAAAAGCCATTGCGTAAGATCCTGTTCGAAAGATGAAAAATATCCAAGGGTCCTGTGGGAACGAATGGTGAGGGTTTGTAGAGAATAAAAAAATATTGGCTATCCCTTGTCCTTTACGATCACGTGGACACGTCGGGGAGGCATCGAGTATTCGGGGGAGGCATAAAAAAAAAAATGAAAATCATCATCTGACATTACTGCCTCAAATTTTATTGACGTGGACGTCATAAATTATTTGCCTTTTTTTGGTTATAATTTTTGGAACCAACATGTATTTTGCGATTGGCGAGCGACCTCCTTATTGGTTAAAACGCGAACTGTTTATGGAAAGAGCTGTAGTGTGGTGAGATGCCTTTGATTTTGGATTTATCAATGTCATTTTTATTTATTATCTCCACGATATCTGCTCACTGATACTGATCCCGGAGGGTAGGAAGAATTACGTACGTTGAATAAAAAAAAATATATACAAATTTTGGATCCTTCCAACTAATGACAAGAGAAAACGACCACTCAATAACAAATCCGCATGTCTTTGACAATACGCAAATTCGCATAATTTTTCAAAGGAGCGAAAAATATGTTTATCTTTTCTTCTCCTTCTTCCCTCCCTCCCTCTCCCCCCCCCTGTTTATGGAAAGAGCTGTAGTGTGGTGAGATGCCTTTGATTTTGGATTTATCAATGTCATTTTTATTTATTATCTCCACGATATCTGCTCACTGATACTGATCCCGGAGGGTAGGAAGAATTACGTACGTTGAATAAAAAAAAATATATACAAATTTTGGATCCTTCCAACTAATGACAAGAGAAAACGACCACTCAATAACAAATCCGCATGTCTTTGACAATACGCAAATTCGCATAATTTTTCAAAGGAGCGAAAAATATGTTTATCTTTTCTTCTCCTTCTTCCCTCCCTCCCCCCCCCCTCACCTCACTCAGCCGTGCAAATAAGTCGCGCGATTGCTGGGTCCATCTATAAATAGAACGTGTTCGAGAATTTGTCAATATTCCCACCCTGTCGCATTACAATGCATATATATATCCTACATTCAGTCCTCGATCCTGGATTTATTTTTTATTCGTTTTTCAGGAAAGGATCAATTCTCGCTTATGGCTTGGCAACGATCCTTTTGGGCATTTGGTGTACTGATTGGAAAGTAGTTTGCGAGCGTATACCATTTTATGGTAGCAAATTCGAACGTGGGGTTCCGCGCTTTTATTCCATCGAACCGACACGTACGTAGTACAGGAAAAAAAGAAGAAAAAAAAATTGACCTAACCGGGACTAGAACCCTCGACCCTAAGATCAGAAGTCTGACGCTCGATTTAAAAATGATATATTATTTGACGATCTGTAGATTACATTAAATATATATGCAACAAAGTGATAAACTTCAGCTAGTATATTTTTCTACATACTCGAGTGCAACAGGATATTTGTTTCATAATACTTTTAAAACGAAGCTAGTTATTTATATTTTTCTATTTTTAATACGTACAATCCGGTGCAGTGTAGGTTAAGCCATTTGAACCATAGTAAATTCCAAGCGCTAGAACTTCCTTAGGGAGTCTCCATGAAAATCATTGAAAATTCAAAGGTCATTTTGACTTCTATTAAAATTCAAAACGTGATCCGCACTGAAAACCTCATTTTACGATATACCGTAACGTCTTATTCGTGATACGATAACGTAATCAGCGCTCTGAAAAAATAAAAATAAAAAATTCTAAGCTCATACGATAAATTTTATATTTTTCCTCAAATAATCTAACAATTTCAGAATTCGAGTAAAACAATGAATTTGGTTAAAAAAAAATATAAAATACCTACGAACGAAGCACCACGTGCATCATTAACCAGAAAGAGGATCCTTCAATAAGTATATTAAACGACTTCGTTCCACGTGTAGGCTGAGGTTAATAACTTCTCTCGCAATGAACCTGTTATTCGAAATGAAGCCCCAAGATCGTCGCGTACATAAAGTCGACAGTCTAATTACAAGATTGTTTCAGAAATTATTCCCCATCAAGTCCAATTTAAAACATGAAAAATCCACGCCGCTCCGCAATCCGTACAAGCACGTCACGTGCACGTATTAGAAAGAAAGAGAAAAAAAATTGCCATAAAAAAAATTTCGAGGGAAATAAATCCAGAGGATTTTCCCATAAAGTGGATAAATCTCGGGAGAGTGAAGGTAGGGATCCCTCCTGTGGAATCGACAATCCCTAGAATACCGAAGGAAGGGTGACGTCACCAGGATCAGGACCGCAAATGGTTCCGATTTAATACATCCAGAATCCTATTAGCTCGGGATAAAAAGGATTTTCCATAGAAAATTCCAATTCGTTACCTACAGTCGTAAAGCACGAAAAGAATTTCATGTTCGGCATTGACGTTCCTTTGGTTAAACAAAATTTTTTTTTTTGCATGTACATCCTTTTTCTAATATCGGACGAAAGAAATTACGTCACTCGTTATCGCACTGATAACATATGCGTATTTATCGTATCCGTGTATTTAGCCGTATGTCAAGTTTTAACGTGGGAGACGTGTCTACGCTTATATTGCATACGCGCACGTGTTACGTCTAAGTGGTCTGGACGTTAGACACGTAATGTTGGTCATTGATCAACATCAGGAGGATCTGTAGAATTAGTAATAGGGGAGGGTTCTTATGTTGGTATGCAAATCGCTATTGTTCCGTACTATGGTAACTGTATTATCAAAACACGAACCTGGTTAATGTGTTCACCCGTTATACAGCGACACCATTAGGCCCTCGTGAAAGCACGACTATCATGATTTTATTATATTGTACGTAAGAGGTGTCATTGTGGTACGTCTATTTATAATTCCAAGGACCGCTGGGAAGTACGGATAAAATTTTTATTTGGAAATTTTAAACTGATAGGAAAAAAATAATTGTGGACGGCAAAGCAGGTTTTTGATTACGTTTTAATTTACCAAGATTTATTCTTTACTTACATGTATAATTGTATATAATGTATATATGTTGCCTCGTCTTTGTCACGTGATGTTTTCGGCACTCGTCGCGCTCTGGCGCAAAACACTTAAACTAGGGTAACAACAGAAGGGTGGAAATTTACGAGTTCTATAAATATTGCCAATAACAATGACGGCTAACAATAGCCGTCCCCAAAATAGCGAATTTTCATCGAGTTATGAATTCTCGTTGAAAATAAAATCGATATAATTAATATATTTGATAATATCGCATATATATGAAAATTGTGTAATATACTTGTAGTATAAAGCGGAAAATGAGTTTATTTTTCAAAAATAATAACGCGCGCACGTGTCACTCGATGCGACAGTAATGTTGAAGTAAATCGATAAAAGATACAGGGAGTATCAAAAACAATGGTACAGGCTCTTGGTTTTGGCAAAGGCCACATAAACAGATCGGAAATAGAAATCATCGACCTGAATCGAAAACTGGTGCCGCGTAAATTCGCGAACCAAAACAATATTCGCACGAATTCATGACGGTTGTTCGCTTTTTGCCAAGTTTCTAATTCGGATTGGATCCCTGTGCTGATGCAACGGCACGATCCCGTTGCGGAAGCTATTCCGTTGCTGTAGGGAAACATAAAAATGTCCCTGACTAAAATAAGTTAAATTAATGAAATCGCGTTACTCGAGTTATTCGCAACATTCGTAATTTGCAAAATCAAAATAAATTTTCAAAAATATCCCGTATACCACGCAATAACGACTGGCGGATTATGCTCGAAAAAAAAAGGAAAAAAAAACGGAATTGAAAAGGCGGAATAGTGGGACGTCCAACCGGACAGGAATTCAATACCGAATTTTAATAGCCAGGGTGCCCTCATAAAACGTAACGAAGTTTCAACCATACCCGAATTTAATTCTTATTTAAAATGAAAATAATAAAAAATAATTCATATTTTACAAAACAATAAATAATTCTACTGGTTTTATATGATTTTATATTAAATTATCGTAAATCTATGAAATTAAGATGAAAAATTTTTTTGGAAAATATAACCCAGGCTGTTAACATTCCGAACGGAACGGAATCCTGATTGGTTGACCTCTCACAGTTCAACCTTTCCAAATCCGTTTTCAGAAGGTCACGAATCAGCACCCTTAGAATTGAATTAGGATATCAAAGAAAAAGTTACAGATAAGCACGTTCCATGAGATATCCGAAATTCTCAGATTAACAAAAAATTTGAAAAATAATGAAAAATTACATTTACCATATTTAAAAAAAAACCTTCTATCCACACATCAACATTAAAAATTCACAAGATCAAAACAGAAACTCAAAATTATCGCCACCTCTGACTTGCCAACAATCCACAAGCTACAATCGAATTGAGAAACGAAAAACAAAAATATTACTGATAAGCAAAATCCATCACAAAGGCGGAACTGCAAATATCCTTGACACGTAATACATGTGACATGGGTCACACATGCGTTATCTATAAATAATTAAATATTTACGTATTTATAGCGATTTTCCTTCGACCAAGATAATCATACTCCTACCCGATATAGCCTCAGTGTCTGGCGCACGTCAACCCAATGAGCACTATCATTAAAGCAGGTCTTATCAGAAGTCCGATAAGAGACAACAGCCCGTAAAGAATTAAAAATCCCCCCAAAAAAATGCAATGAAAAATCCAACGAGGAAATGAATAGAACAAATAATAAAAAAAAAAGTGCACAAAACAGAAGAATTCGATGGAAAGCGCGAACGGACCTTTATAGGTACAGCAATGGAGCACCCTCCAGATCCGGGTGATCCCAACTCACGAATTCTTGGTACCCGGCCAAATTGCTGTGTCTTCCCGATGTGTCAAGTTCTCAATATTAGAAGCGAATCTGCCTCCTATAACAAAGAGAACTTATCCATAGGAATTCCTAACGTCACCTTGAATTTCCCATAGACATTCGGATTGGTGCATCACGGGGAGACGTGACGATGACGAATATGAGAATTGCATAATAATAACAACAACAGCCCATAAAGACTAATTCGCACCGTTACGACTCGTTACGTCACACGACTCTCGTCTTCCGCTTTGCTCAGGAATTTCGGATGTATCTATCGCGGACTCGAAAAAAAAGATCAAGATAAAGATAGATTCTAGTTTACTCGCCGATTTACGTAAATAAACTCGTTGTGCTTTGGCGAGTCTTAAACAGGCGCAAGGAGACTTAACGCCGTTGTTTCGTAGCGGCTGTAATTTTACGCAATTCGTAAAACGTATATATATATTCGTATACAATTCGTATATATATATATATATATATATATATATATATACAAACGCACGTATTGGTTGTGCATACGTCGTCCTCTGGGTGATTAACCCAGAAAACCCACTGATCGTAAGTACGTCGACCCGGTACGCAAGTGCGTGCACCACCTAGTCAAAATTTCTCTCTCTCTCTCTCTCTCTCTCTCTCTCTCTCTCTCTCTCTCTCTCTCTCTCTCTATGACTTTCTCACTCACACTGAGTTTTCGTGTTTCTCTTGGATCCTGGCCAGCCGGATAACTTGCAAATAAACCTTTAGTGTGCATTCACACCGAATCCTAATGATCCAGCCCTGGCTTTACGCAAAGTGCAGATAGGATGTTTAGAGTCGTAAGAATGTCTGAAAATGAAGAATTTGAAAAAATATATATTTTTTTTTTCAAATTTTCAAAACAGCCAGAAAAGCATTATGGGCAATATGGTCGGAGATGGATGATCCTTAAGAAAGCACGTGCGAAGGCACTTTGATTTCTTAGTGGTTTCGTGCAAATTAAATAAAGGTATGCCAATTGGACGTTGGCTTGTTCGGGATGCTAATCTTTGAAAAGCCCGTATACGCTGTAGTTGCTTAAGGAGGATCTAGTTGGAATTGTAAAGATCGGAGTTGGTACTTGGCGCTTTTGATGATTGGATGGTTAGGTGGGTACACTGACGTCATCTGAGCGGTTATTATCAATTCGCTACTGTGTACGACTTTATTATTTTTCCAGTAGCCTCGTGAGCGACGACTCGTTGTGACATTTTAAATGTCAAAAGCCACCTGGCACAGCCGATGAAGTATAATGATCTCTACGGAGTTTACCTGACGCACGCAAATGCTGGGATGTTGGGTATGAGGCACTTAAAAAAAAAAAAAAAAAAAAAAAAAAATATCATGATACTTTTAGTTCGTCACGTGTAAATTTGTACATCCGGTAGAGATCCTTGCGTGAGATCAATAAAAAAAAAGGCTGCAAAGTAGAACCTTGCAAATTGTTTCCTCATTATTTTACTTGATTTTTTCTATCACAATGATGCAAAGTAGAATCTTACACTTTGCTTCTTGATTCTTTTCCTTCGTTCACAGAGCCTCCACTGTG